GCAATTTTTAAGAAGCAAAAACATACACACAGATGAAAATAGGCAAGGTAATTGAAAATTCTTGGGTTTAATTACATTATTAGATTAGTCTGGAGCTTTTTCACTGTAGAGGCAGAAATAATATTACTCATAGCTCATACTTCAAATTGTATCTGTTCTTGTTTCAAATGTAGTTCATAAACACTGAAAGCATGAGGTAAAGCATTGCTATACAAGCTCACTTTTACATGCCAGGAATAGGCTGCTGGTTCATTTTTTGATAATAATATACTTATATAATTATGCATAACACTAAAAACCTCATTATCATTCTGCAGAGACTGTAGCAACATGTATTGCTTAGGATTGCCTTTCAGCAATTAAATGTTTCTAAATACAGTCATCTTCCTTTTAAATAAACAACTGAAGCAACAAACGATAGCAGCTAATGATCATTTTAGAACAAACAGATGTGAAACCATCTTCAGAGATCTCTCAATATGTCTGAGATCTCACCTGTAAAACTTATCACCTCCTTGGGCAAAGCTTACCATATCAGTGACACCTGCACTAAAGCCAGCGTACCCATAACATCGTCTCAACTAACACCTAAACGAGCCCAGCAAGGAAGGGAACAAAACTCATGTGAACAGTCATACTGCTCCACTGAACTGTGAAGTGAACTGACCTTTTTCTTTGGAAGTCTTCACAGGCTCAGACACTATATGCAAAGTGTGCCAAAACTTCACATTTTGTTTTCAGGTCTTGTTTAGGATAACCCAGCTAACTATACAGAAACCATTTTCTGTACCATTTATACATGAAAGACTATCAGCCCTTCAGGTTTTATAGAGAAAATTCCAAGCAGCTTATTCTCAAAACTCCCCAGGAAACAAGCAATGGCTCTCAGTCATCCATTGATAAAACTGATCTCTAAGCTCCCTTCGCAATATGCTGATGTAAGAGTTAAGAAAGAACACAAAGAAATTATGCCTTACTAACAAGGTACTGTATATACTAAACTGTTCTCAACTAAGTTCTTTCATTCAAAAGGAGTAAGCTCCCTTCCTCTTCTTCCACAGAAATGTACAGCTCCACATTCACCACCAAAACTCTTATATGGAGAAAGAACTTCTCCTGATCTTCAACTGTCAGATAGAGTTTTTAAAGACTCAGTTTTCTTGGTTCTGCAGACCACCAAGGTTAAAGATAAAAAAATCTTTCATATTTTCTTCTGACAGACTTTCATATTAAAAAAAAAATCTAATTTGAGGTACACAGAGAATTTAATCACTGCCCGGTTTTCTTTCAGAGGCTATTCTGCTTTCAGGTTTTAACTTACAACTGCAATGTATTCTGCAATGAAAGGTGCTACATGAAATTAAATTTCATTCTACTCTTTCAGGGTCAATGCTGAAACCAAATACCTCTGATAACCTCAGATGTTTCACCAGTATTATTTTCCAAATGGAATCGTCACAGATCTAGCAACCCAAAGTTTCCATTTTCTGAGAACTCTCAGGTCACTAACGGTTTGTTCCTAATTTAATCATGACATCTCACTCAGCTGTTTTTTATGTTTGAAATGGTCAATAGTGATCAGTGGCAATAGTGTATCAATTCCATGATGTCACTTTATGAAATAAATCAAATTCAACCCGTTTTAGGTTTGTTAGGCTTCTGTAGCAGTTTGAGCCACATTTAGAAATCTAAAATCCAATTTTTAGGCTTCCCCCACCCCTTCTCAACAATTTATCCTAACACCGGAGAGAGACTTTCAGGCCAGAGGCTTCTGTAGGGGAAGGGGAAAGTATATACATTTTATTTACACAAATAAATACTATAAAAACTAAAGGCAACTATATATATATATATATTACATTACTATCAGTCAGTCCTTTCAAGCCCCTCCTTTAACTTTAGTCCAGGAGCAGCCTTTAAGGCTGATGTGTAACACAGTCTTTTGCTGTGGGAGTGTTCTGGGCTCCTGAACACTCCCTCCTCACCAAGTTCCAGCAGTTGTTTGTTGTAGTCTCTCCTCCTCATGAAGTCCGAGAAGATAGCTTTGAGTCTTTGCTCTCCTGCTGCTGGTGATCTCTCCCTCTCGGTGTCCCACCTTGGTTCATAGGCTGCTGCAGTGTAGCTTATCAAGCATCCACATCCTGGAATCTTCATTCCTCCACATCAGTTCTCAGCTGCCCCCGGTCAGCTTCGGCAGGCAACTCTTGAGCTCTTGGCTCAACTCCAATTTCTCCTGGGACTCCTCCCGAGCGCCGGGGCCTACCTCCACGGCCCAGTCTCCTGGCTCAGCTCCAACTCTGAGCCCTTCCTCCACTCACAGTGGAGGGAAAGAAAAGCCCCCCTCTACAGCTTCACTGCAGAAAAGGAGGGGGAAGAAGGCTTGGCTGCAAAGCCTGCCTCTCTTCTCTTACCTCAGGTGCTGTGGATCTCTTCCTTCACAGCACACACTCCAAATTCTGACTCTAATTCTAACCAAAGGCTGAGCTGGGGGGGTCACAGGGCTCCCCTCTCCCCCCTGGAGGGGAAGAGAGGGAGCCCAGTCACCCCCTGGCCTTGTCCACCTACACGCAGCAGACACCAACAGCAAAACAACCAAGACTGCATTGCCAATTGTTTCCGGTGCTGTGATATATGATTTTGAGCAGAAGTGAACAACATGGGTGGTGAGTGGCTCTCCAGGGAACACTGCCCTGGCACCCAATCACCTCTGAGCCCCTCGAACTCTCAAGGGGGGCCAATTTCAAACTATGACAGCTTCAATAATTCAGAAACGTAAACCACCATGTAATTTTAATCACACGAATATTTTTACTTATTTCAGTGCAAATTACTCACATGATTGAGCTAAACCACATCCAGGTGTTAAAATAACAACAAACCAGACATTACAGATATAGAGCTCAGTAACACCAATTATGTGCTAGATTGCATAGTCAACAAGCCAAAATTTGTACATTTAAATGGGCAACTGTAATTTTTACCTCTACACATTCATATTACGCACTGAATGGAAGCTTTTTAACAAAAGGAACAAAAGAGGTCATTGTGATAGTGCAATTAAAACCTGTATCATGCACTCCCACAAGAATTCAATTCAGGTTACGTGGGTATTATCAGATAGCATTACCTATTTGATCAGACTACAACTTTACATTACCTAACAATGAAAACAGACTTCTGTTAAGCAATTCTGTCATCTCAAGACACAGGAGCATGTTACAATGTCATTATCATACAGTCTTCAGGGTGTTTGAAGAGAACAAAGTACCCTTCCCTTTCTTCCTGAGCACCACCTTGAGAGATTGCCCACAAGCCAAAATACTAAAATATTACTTGGATTAGTTCAAGAAACCGGTACTAAATGAGATCCTAGAACGGTCTCAATAGCTATGAAACACCATGGGAAATAAAAAGGGGCAACCACCAGCAGGGTTGATCCCAATAGCACCTTGTTGAAAAACAAACAGCTAAGTGAATCCAGAAGAAGGTGCCACTGCATGAAGCTTAGTTTGTGTCCATACTTAATCATGGACAGCACCATATTACACATGACTGCGAGCCAGAGTCTGTAAACAACCCTACTGGATATAAAATCCAGAAATCTGACATTAGTATAACAAGCAAAAAGTAAAACCCAGAAATTCGACATTATTATAATAGGTAAAACCATCTATTTCTGGGAGAAACATATTCTATACATCTCATTTCTCAATCAGTTCTGCTGAATACAGCTAAATACAGCTGCTGATAAAAGGACTGCAAAATGTATTCACGTAAAGACATGCAAATAAGTCTACACTGACCATTACATAAAATTAAATATCAAGGCTTTTCCTATGCTAATTCAGTGTATAAGGAACAGAAGAATCACTAATTTCAAGGATTTATATTTTTATGAATATTCCAATACCTAAGGTAAAAAAATATGTACTGTATGCAAACACTCTGCAGGCTGCTGTAGCTGAATACCCACACCATTACACTGTAGCACTCTTATGTACATAGGCAGGATGAAGAGCTTCTCCAGACAAGATGTTGTGATTCTGTGTGCATTATCATGTCAAAATTAAGGCCTCCTCCCAAGAAACACACAAAACAATTCCACTTGTCTTAAGCAGAGACGTACTAAGACTAAAGCTAGTAAGCACTGTACTTTATAAATGCAGTGTCTTACAGACTACAGCAAAATAATAGATATGACACTGAAAATCTAGCCATCTCTAAACTCATTTGTTTCTTTTAAATTACATGTTCTTGGACCCATCTGTGAAAACTGGGAGGTTAATTATGATAGTACATTGCATAATTCCACAGTTAAATGCTGAAGTAATTCTACATAAATGCCATATGTTTGTCTTAGAAAAACTGAAAAGATTAATTAGAAGGCCAAGGCCAATACTTTGGAAAGTAATACTCTGAACACAATTAAATCCTTAGACTGCATACTATGTAAATTGAAGTTTTAATTAGTAGCTAAAACATTAGTCATGACAAAATAAAAAAGCCCAAATTCAGACTTTGCTTTTTACTGAGATTGCTTATAAAAAGACACTCTGCACAAGCCAGTCACAAGAAAAGCCACTTAAACTTGATACATGCTTTTCATGAAGGAACTACCTGTTAAGCATTAGTCCTGTTCCTCTTCCCTACATATCCTCACGTATTTTAAAGTTACCGGATCACATTAGTAAAGAAAAAGCTCCAATAGACAAACTATGACTAAGAAGCAGAGTAAGGTACCAGTTTGAAAAGTCAATTCAGCAGTATAAGGTCCTTCAAAAGCCCTAGTAGTCACTTCTCCATCTCTGAATCTGGTTTAGCCTAGCTTTCCACATTTAGCCCACTCTGCTACAAAGCATCATCTCCTATAGCCACCACTCTCCTGAAGAAAGTAAAGGTTATTTTGGCCTGATTCATAGATCACTGATGATAAAGAGAGCATTTCCATCAAATTCAATACACTCTGGACCATATCCAGAATATATAGTTACTTTACTCACCACATATTCAAACACAAGTGTCAAGGTTTCCTTGGTGTGAATGATGTCATGAAGCAGCACAATGTTTGCATGTTTCAATCCTTTCAAAAGAGAAGCTGAAAAGCAAAACAAACATGTAATCTTAAAAAGAATCCAAATATTTTACATCAATTGGCTTTCTTTTTTTAGTGACTTAGTTGAGCTTCATAACCTGACAACCAATAGTTGTACCTTAGTATCTTCTATGTCCATGAATTCCACACATTAAGTGTGTTTGAATATCACACCTTTCGATTCAGTGCTATTTTCTCCACCTTGCTGGTCAAACTCAACCTCACTCTGAGGTCAAAATGAGCTATGGCTAGAGATGCTTTCCTTACGCAGCCTCCTCTAAGTGAATCAGTCATGTCTACTCAACCAGACACAAGACTGCTTCTACACTCAAAGATAATTTTTTTTGTCTCAGATGAAAGTCAAGCATGTCTTTTCAAAACGTCGTCTTTGCTATCCAACACAACAGAGATGCTGTATAAACAAAGTCCAGCATCTATCCCAAGAATAGTGTTTTAAGCAATAATTCTTCTTTCTCTCAAATATGACACAGGTTTGATGGAATTATTTGTATTAGTCTATGAGAATAAATTAATAGTATTTTCTCACTTATTTTTTCAATGACTAACTCACATTTTCAGAAAAGACAAATAAAGACTTATCTAATGAATTTTCAGGTAATCTCCACTAAATTTTTTTTATACCATAATACATATTTAATGTTGATACCATATTACATATTTAATGTTGCAAAAGATATGATATATTTTAACAAGATATGCTGACAAGCCATATGTTGTTACCCATGTCATTTTGCCATCAGTGTCTTGTCTTCTCACACATACATCTGAGCAGGACTATCAGTCACCCCAGCAAGTAAATAATATGGTCTTAAGCTCTGCCAGGGGAGGTTTAGGTTGGATATTAGGAAGAAATGTTTTACAGAGAGAGTAATCAGACATTGGAATGGGCTGCCCAGGGAGGTGGTGGATTCATCATTCCTGGAGGTTTTTAAGGTGAGACTGGATGTGGCACTTAGTGCCATGGTCTGATAACCACGGCGGTGTTGGATCAAGGGTTGGACCTGATGATCTCAGAGGCCTCTTCCAACCCAGCTGATTCTATGATTCTATAATAGATACAAAGACATGCAAATAAGTGGCATATTTCTAAACTGAAAATATGCAACTTGCTTCTGTCACCTTCCTTATTTTGTCAAAGCAAATAATGAAAAAACAAATGTGTCTCAATTCTTCACCGTGCAAAATGGAGACTAGGGAGCTTCCACAGCACTATTACCCCTTGCTGTCCTACTAAGGGTGTTTTGAGGGTGTTTCATCAGGTGGAGGTAACTCCAGGGGTCATCCGGCTTTAAAATAGGCTAAGTACATCTCATCTCTCATATTGGTCTTGAAATCGGTCTGACAAGTTCATCACTCTTGGAAGCAACACGAAAGCAACACGGCATTTGGCTGCATCAGTGTTCATCCACAAGCACCCTCAGCAGCAAAACTTTGGAGTTCACACTAGGCAGAAGGCAGATAGCAAAGCAGAAAACACCATAAAGCTGCTTCAAAGTATTACCAGAGATATTCTGATGACAGGACTGCAAACCTGTAAGCAAGCTCCATGACCTGGAATGAGGTAACCCTTCGACCTGGCTGAAGGGGTTAGAAGAAATGTTTCTAAGGAGCTTGCTTTGGCCTGCACTCCACAGCTCATGCTATTTAGAAAGTCGGCAGTCTTTCCTGCACTCTATGTTGCTACTGAATTGTATATCAGCTATTGTAAGTACAATTAAGCTTGTTAAACATTTAATCAGTGCATATCTAGCAACTTTTAACATTCCACAAATTAAGTTGAAGCCTTTTTCTTAAAGAAAGAGCCATGCACAACTTTCCTAGTGTGAGAAATACTTCTTGATATATTTGAGAGGGGACAAAGTCATCAAAGCAAAACTACTTTATTAAATGAGTCAGGTTAATTGGGTGTCTTCCTCTCCAGTGAGGTGCACCACTCACCAAAATGGGTGACCTTTTATTCTTCCCTGGCTGGTGGTTGTCCCTGTCCCCTTTCCCATTGGTTGGGTACTAAGGGACTTATATTCTCTCCTGACTGCCTACTTTGCCCTAAGTCTCCCTCCCACATATCCCCTTCATCTTCTTTTTTTGGCAAATCTTTAGCATAGCCTTTCCTGTTCATTCTTAACAACTCTGTGCAGGAGCAAGGGACAATCTAAACCACATCTAAGCAACAAGCAGCTATAAGCAAGAAAGAAGGGTTAGCCTTCCCACCCCCCTTCCCCTACCCCCTCCAGTCACTCTGGCTTCAGCAAAACATCACTTTATTTCTCACAATAGGATCCTCATCTTAGAATTTCGAGAATTTCTTGGAGCAAAAGCTCAGAGAGATTTGGATATGTTGGGGTTTTTTTGAAAAGAGAACAATGAAAAACTGCTACTGGAAAAAGGTATGTATATAAACAACAGATGACAGACCAACTGTTCTGAAAGGTACCTTCTACCAGAAACAAGAATGTTTAACCTGGGGAAACCCTGAGAAGAGTTCACCTGAAGTAACTGAGATTTCACCAGTTCTTCCCTCAAACCTTGTCAAATGACCATACATGCAGAGACACTGGGAACATAAAAACTGCCTCCTAGCAGAACCTGTCGAACTGTTATAGTATTTATAACCTCTGTCAGCTTTTGCTGTTCAGATCATCATGTGAGGCCTTTAATTTCTCTAGTTGGCCATTTCTTTGTTGTTAGAATCTGTATATGGGTCATTAAAGCTTAAACAGTACATTGAAAGCAGCTTACCCCGAGGTCTTTGGAAATACTGTTTTTCGTCTTCAGTCCCCTCCCCCACTCTTATTTATCTTCTGTAGTATACAATTCCCCCTTTTACAGCCTCAATATTCAACATCTGCCATCTATTACAAGAACTACAAAATATCACCTGCAGGGTGAAATTTCTGTCTTCTTCATTAGACCAAGTGAAATATAGTAGATAATATAGCACAGGGAGCAAAATCATCTTAATTGCACTAATTTACACTGCAGAAATAAGCAATTACACTATCAATTTATATTGTAAGAAACCAAACATAACTGGCAAAAGTAAGAGAATTACCCCATGTGCTCGTCTATCAGGAGTCTTACCAGATTGCCTGTCTTTGTGAAAACACTGCTTTGTTTCTTAAAAAAAAAAAAAAAAAAAAAAAAGGGGAGGGGGAAGGAAATTAAACAGAGAAAAAAAGTTGTCTGAAACAAGAAAGTTGATTCTTTCTCCACAGAGTACTTTAAAAACAAAATTAAATATGAACCGATGGCTCATATGGGGTTTTTTTCCAGGAAAAACAGCCTTTCAGAACAGATGACCAATACACCACCTCTTTTGGGCAAGTTTTTACTCAAAGGAGATGGAACTTTGGATGAACTCCACTAATTCAAAGACAAAACCCAGAAATTCACATCCAAAAGAATAAAAAAGAGTCCAGGGAATCTATCAGCATCAGCCTGAGACAAGACTGACTTTACCTTTGAAGCTGCCAATGCAGCTGCTACTGGAGCTCAGTGAGAAATCAGGTGTTGCTATGCCTGGTGTTAGTTCTAGAACAAAATAATTCTCCCAGAGAACACCATCTCCATCCAGTGATTATCACCCACAGATTTCACACAGAGTCATGATGAAAAAACTGAAATGTTGTTGAAAAAGCATTGCAACAACTCAAAAAGTGGAAAAGATGTACTAGTACTCACTGTATCCTTAACATGTATTTTTAATAACAAAATTATACAATGCTGCTTCGAAACTACTGGCACTCTTTTTTTACCCTCGGTATTAAATGTAAGATAAACAGATGGCAGTACTTTTAATTAATTTCCCCAAAGAGTTCTGAGGAAATAATGTTAAAATGCTTTTTTAAAACACTTCGGAAAAAATATTATATGGGTTTGAATTGCCAGGTGTTTGTTCTGTCACCTGTGTTTGCACAGTCCCTCACAGCAACTTCTAACATTAAAAAACAGGGAAGATGAATTGTTGACATACTTTAACAATTAACAACATCCAAGATGATAATTTCTGTGACTTGTACGCAAGTTCATGACCTGAGCCGCTAAATGTACCAACACTCAGCACTTTTCATCAAGGGCTAATAACCATATTTGCATACTTAAAGGAAACACATTTCATTTGCTTGAATAACCATCACAGACTTCTCCAACAAGGGGATGCTCTCATCTATTATGAGCTCCTGGCAAGCTGCCATATCGCTTGTGTTGGTCAAGGAGTTTTTTTGCTGTTCCCAGATGAGCTGGATTCTAAAGTACGCTCACTCTATGAGCAAGGCAAGCCAGATGGACTACAGCCAACTCTTACCCAAAACCTGAGTAGCATCAGTAAATCAGTGCTTTGCTCCCTGTGGGGTTTACAGCATCAGCTCAAGCTTGACACTCCATTAACAAAGCCTTGAGACTTTTAGATGAGCCTCAGCTTGGAAGTGTTTTGAAAAAGACTATTCCCGCATCTCCACAAAGTAACATTTCACAGTCACATGACAAAATCAACAAAAGCAACTATTACTATTGACTCCCAGGCCACATGGAAGAACTTTTCACCAGCAAAGATAGTACTTTTGGACATGGCAAGCACGTTAAGCTTGAACATTAATTACGGACCTTTGATCATCTATTCAATTCTTTCAAGTCTTTCAATTCTTGACTACCACTTTATTCTCACGTCAGGGGAGTGAGAACTATGGCCCTAAGATAAAAGGGCCATCATCCATGATTTCTGAATTGGCTGACATTTTAGTGACATGGAAGCTTTTCTCAGTAGTGGAAGAAGAACTCAGCCTCATGCTGCTCATATTCACCATAATGTACAACTGCTGATGACGCTGTCTCGTATTTCCTAATATATGCAAAGGCTGTGATACTCCCAACATTTTTCTAAAAAGTATAACTATAAAAATGCCTGCTTTCCTCAGTATACAGTAGTAGGGGTGTCCTCTGGGTTTACCATGCACCAGTGACAACTACTGCCCATACTGCTATTC